TTTCTGGCTTGCGAGGTAAAAGCATTTTTGAGCTGTTTTGTATTATGGTAGTTATGTTGTCCCAGTAGTTTGTTAGGGAGGGGCAGTTCCACCATACATGGAGCATTGTGCCTTTGTGTTGTTGGCATCTCCAACAGAGATCGGAGACTTGTGGGTATGTTGCTTTTATGTACCACCGGTATAGGATTTTTCGGGATAGTTCCATGTGGGAGGCGCATTTGGAGAGTGAGTTATGTGGAAGTAGAATTTTATTCCATTGTCGCGCATCGAGAGTATATGTGAATTCCTTCTCCCATGCTGCAATGAATGATAGTTTTGTGTGGTCTTTTTGAGTGTGCATTCGTATAGTTCGGATATAAGTTTTTTGGGGGTTAATAGGCGCGAGCAAATTTTCTCTACCACCGTCAGATGTTGCCCTTGTACATTATCCATCCTATTCAAGGTTTGCTTACTGAACCATGAGTGTAATTGCATATAAGAGAATGATGCCATTGGGGTCAAGTGGTAAGAAGTTGTTAGGTCCATGAAGCTTCTAAGTGTATGTTCCTCCAGTAGTTGGTGTAGGTATGTTACCCCATGTCGGTGCCACAGAGTGTAATTAAAATTTGGTATCATATAATGTAATGCTTTTATAGGGGTGGCAGGCGATATTTTGCCCGACCAGCCCAGAGTGCGGCAGTATTTGTCCCATATGGACAAAGTTAGAGCTGTGGTTGGGAGCAGTTCGTTTGTTGCTGGCCTGCTGTGTCGAGGGAGCCATGCCAGTATAGTAATGGGTATATTGTTAGCGTGTTGTGTCTCCAGTTCCATCCATTGAGTTGGGTTGTCCCGGTGACACGCCGCTAACAAGGGACCCAAAATAGCTGCTCTGTAATAGCTGTCTAGATTGGGTACTCCCATACCCCGTTTTTTGCATGGCATGTATAGTGTGCTCTTCGCCACTCGCGCTTTATGTTTGTCCCAGATGAAGTTTAGCAGTGTTTGTTGCGCGTCTTGTAGGAATTTGGGTGGTAGTTTTTTGGGTAATGTTATAAATGTTATAAATAGGTATTGCAGTTTTGGTATGACTATCATCTTGACTGCGGCTATTCTTCCTGACCAGGATATAAATTTACCTTTCCATCCTAGCAGTAAGTTTTTTATTTCGGTCAGTGTTTTTTGGTAGTTTGTTTTGTAGAGGTTTGCTGAGGTTGGGATGATATTGATTCCTAAGAATTTGAGGTGGTCATTGCGCCAATCGTATTTGAAAGAGGCGCTCAGCCTGCGCATATCCTCAGCTGGGATGTTTATACCCATTGCTTGAGTTTTATTAACATTGAGTTTATAGTGGAAGCATTTGCTGTATTGGGAGAGCGTGTTATGAAGGTTGGGTAGGGATATATGTGGCTGTTCCAGTGTTAAGAGGACGTCATCTGCAAATAGTGTGAGTTTATGTTCCTTGCCTTGTCTTGTGATGCCATGTATGCCCGGATTGTCCCTAATGAGTTGTGTCAGTGGTTCTAGGGATAAAATGTAAAGGAGAGGTGATAATGGGCAACCCTGTCTCGACCCGTTGGTTATTTCTAATTGTTTGGAGCTGAATCCCCCGTTTGTGACTTTCGCTGTCGGTTTGGAGTACAGCGCTCCCACCAATCTTAAGAAGGCGTCCGGGAATCCATATTTGAGCAGGACTGCCTGGAGGAAGGGCCAGTGCAGTCTGTCAAAGGCTTTCTCAGCGTCAAGTGATAACATGACGCACTGGGCCCCCGCGTCCCCCTTGCAACAGGTCTAAAACCTTTCAGGTTCCGTCCGCTCCCTGCCTGCCACTGACGAACCCCACCTGGTCCTCATGTATTAGGGTTGGAATAATATTCTTAGTCTGTTGCAGAAATTTTTTGCTAGCAGTTTGATGTCCGTGTTAAGGAGGGAAATTGGTCTAAGGTTTTGGCATTTCGTAGGGGGTTTGCCTGGTTTCGGTAAGGTGGCTACGTGTGCCATGAGCATATCTTGGGGTATTTGGCCCGTCATGAGGATATGGTTAAAGACTTTTTCTAGATGTGGGGTGAGGATTGTGATCAACGTTTTGTAGTAGGAGTTTGTGAATCCGTCGGGTCCTGGTGATTTGCCATGGGGGAGTGAGTGTATGGCTTGTTGTATTTCCTCATGTGTTACTGGGTCTTGCAATTTGGTTTTCTGTTGCTCTGTCAGTGTTGGCAGTGAGGACAATTGGAGGAAGCTTTGGATTTCCTGGTGTGTGGGTTGGTGTAGGTTTGGGTCATCTTGAGATTGTATAGTGTGTGGTAGTAGTTTGCCATGGTGTCATTAATGTCCTGTGGGTTATGGATTTTAGAGCCTTTGGGTGTGAGGAGGTATGGGATTTTTGCACTGATTTGTCTTTGGCGTAACAATGTTGCTAGTTGCTTTCCTGCTTTGTTGCCTTGTATGTTTTCTGTTTCAGTTTTTGTAATATGTGTGCGGTTTTGGAGATTGCCATGTTGTTGATGCTTGTTGTGGTGTCTTTTATTACCTGGGCTAGTTGCGGTGAGGGTTTTACTATATTTGCTGCCGTCGTATCTCTTAGGGTGCGCAGCAGGTGTAGGTATTCTCTTTGTGCTTTCTTTTTGAGGTAGGAGGCTCGGCTGATGAGGACTCCTCTAATGACTGCCTTATGTGCCTGCCACACAGTGGTCGGTTGTACATCTGGGGTATTGTTATCATGGAAGTATGATTGCAGTGCTTCTGATAGTGTTGTAGAGAATGTGTGATCACCTAAAAGTGAGTCATTCAGCCGCCATGGCGGTCTCCCTCTGTGTTGGAAGTCCTCAGTCAGCTCTGCCATGGTCGGGGCATGGTCTGACCATGTTATGTCCCCGATCTCGCTGTGTGCTACCTTAGAGAGTAGTGGGCCCGTGAGAAAGATGAAATCTATCCTTGAATATAATTTGTGTACTGCTGAATAGAAAGAGAACATTTTCTCACTTGGGTGGAATGTTCTCCAAGAGTCATACAGGCCATATTCTCCTAGCAACTTGTTGATTGCCTTGCTTTGTGTTTTAATAGTTTTGTGTCTTGGTGTTGTGGTTTTTAGTGTGGTATCCCTGTATGGGTCGAGGGGGTGGTTGAGGTCTCCGCATAGTATGATTGAGGCAGTTTGGTGGGTTGGGATTATGGAGAGCATCTTGTGTAAAAAGTTTCGCTGATGTACATTCGGAGCATAAAAGCTGACTATAGTGTATGGTAAGTTGTTTAAGAGGCATTGCAACATCACAAATCTACCTTGTTTATCTTTGATAACGTGTAATGTTTCCACTGTTAGGGATGAGTGTAGAAGGATGGAGGCCCCTCTTGATTTAGATGAATGCGTTGCGTGGTATTGGTGGGGGTAGTGTTGTGCGCCGAAGTTGGGCACTCTGAAGGTAACAAAATGGGTTTCCTATAGACATATAATGTCCGCTCGATGTTGTTTGGCTTCCTCTAGTGCCATACGTCTTTTATGGGGCCCCCTACAGTTGTGTGAGTATATTCCGCGGAGTCTATGTTATGTTGTGGTGTGAACAGTGGCTGCGTTATGTGCCTCGTTGCCGGCATCTGCGCGGCTGCATATTTGTGCCCGGGAGTAAGAGGTTCAGGAGAGGTGGGGGAAGGAAGGGGTAACAAACAAAGTATATACAAACTGACCCAAACGTGGGTCTTGGCACTTTGGCATTGTGCCATGGGGGATGGACGCCTAGGCAGCGTCTCGCGTAGTGTGGCCATTGGGCTCTCATAATTACACATTTGTATCTTTCCTCAGAGCTGTGATCCAGTGGGTATGTTAGTAGTGTGCATGTTGCTAATTTGCTGGCTAGCGTGTATGGGTGGTTTAGGGTATGCATGTACAGCATTTTAATCCAAGTTTGTCAGGTGTTGAGTATAACTTGAGCTTTGTCTAAGTGGTTATCTTGTTGATATGTTATTCTATTTTCATCTTCTTCTATTAGCGTGGTTTGTCATGCCTGCTATGGAGATCAGTTCTACATAATGCATTTTGCGGTGCTTATGGCCTAGGTTGTGGGTGCACTTCCTTTGATTTCCGTAGTGTATTGGGGGGGAATGAGTGCAGTACACTCGGCCTGCTTGATCATGCAGTATGTGTTTGTGCGATGTGGTTTACAGATAGCGTCTCATTCATAGAAGCAGTCACCCTGCATAATAATCTGACATAATAATCTGCGTCCTTAGGTTACAGTCATCATATATGCACAACATCAGCTATTACAGTTTACAATAGACATCATGATTACCCGTAGCTCTCTGAGGTCCCCTCTTTCAACTTGTACACATATGATACGGGCCCTCTGTTTCCCGGAGTACTCCATGAGTATCATATGTGAGGGGTACTCCGCCTGCCAGCATCTATCCTATTGTGTGTATTGTTATTTGGCTATTTAAACATATTATATGCTAATCAAAGCAATTAACCTCGTTTGAACTGAAACAAGAACTATGAACATGATATTAGTATATGTGAATATCTCACGTGTCCCTGGTTTTGGCTTTGTCAGCCGAGTTCACCGAGCAAGTCACAGGGATTTGGCTTGTGCTGGGGCTTGGCGCCATTCTGGTATCAGTCGCTTAGTTGGGTTCGTCTGGGTTTCGGGGGGGGGAAATGTTGCAAGCCCCCATTCTCTCAGGGTCCGGGTGCCTTCGTCCGGTGTGTAGATCATTTTGAGCTCGCCGTTTTTCGTGATTAATAGCTTGGTGGGGTATCCCCAGCGGTATCTAATTCCAGCGCGGCGCAGCTCCTCTGTCACCGGGTGAAAGTCCCTTCTGCGTTTGAGGGTTGCCGCGGATAAGTCAGCCAGTATCTTAACTTTTGCATAGGTCCCATGCGGTTCTGTGGAGTTCCTACTGGTTCGCAACACCGCTTCCTTTATATGAAAGTAATGTGCTCTCAGCAGGACGTCCCGGGGGATGGAATCAGGTAGGTTGCGTGGCTTGGGCACCCTGTGTACCCGGTCCACTAGGAGCATCTCTGTGGGTATGTCCGGAGTGTATGCCCGCAGGAGGCCCTGGACATAGGCCTGTAGCTCATTCGGCAAGATGCTCTCTGGGACTCCTCTCAATCTGAGGTTATTCCTCCGTGAGCGATCTTCGGCATCCGCCATGCGTGCTTCCGTGGTTGCTATTTTATGTTCCAGTGTCGCCACATGGTCAGCCATGTCGTTATGTGCTGTAGCATATTCGCTCAGTTTGTTTTCCACGTGTGTGGTTCTGCTGCCAATGTCTTGGATCTCCTTGCTTAGTTGTCCTATGGAGGATTGCCATGTTTTTATGAGTTTGTCAGCCATGTTGTTCATCGCCTCATCTAGGTGTGATTTGGTCAGGTTTCGCTGGCCTTCATGTGATGGCCCTGTGTTTGTGATGTTTCCCGCTGTTTGGTCATCGGCGCCATCTTGATTTGCGCCACGATCAACTTCAGAGCTGCTCGCGGTTTTGTGGGTGAAGAAATTCAGTTTTTCATTTTTCTGTGTGTTCTTCCCTTTGGGGTTTGACATCATGCGTTTTGTGTGTTTTTTAGTGCCCTGAGAGGCGATGTTGTCGGATTCTGAGAGCCCTGGTGCCAGAGCAATTTCCTAAACAGTCAGGCTGCTCTGCAGTTTGCCACGCCCCCAAAAGTGCCCATTTATTTTAATTTTATTATTTTATTTTCATTTTTTATTTTCTTTATTTTTTTTTTATTTTGTAAGCGAAATGATAACATACATTGAACCGGATTGCACAGGAAATAGACATATGCATGTAAGCACTGTTGCCTACGCAGAGGCATGGTACCTTGATCAGGGGTAATGCAAATAACATCTTTCACATAAGTAAAACTAGAGGTACAAATAAGCAGTGTGTGGCATCCTAGTATCCGGTCCGTGTACCAAGTTGGTCAGGGTTGGGGTGAAGTCTTGTCGGGAATGTGTGTGTATGTATGTATATATGTATGTCCTAGTGCCTTTGCAGAGGCATGTTACGAGCATATGGCCATGTGGGTCATTTCTCGTCTATGTTGCGTTGGGCAGTTTGCATTCCTTGAGCACCAGGTCTGTGTGTGGTGTCAGTGGGATGTTGAACTGAGGCTTATCAAACGAGTATATCATAGAGCAATATTGACATTCAATCATCAGTTGGCCAGGTGGGCAGCAATTATGTTCTGTAGGTTACATCGTGGATAAAATATATATCTGAGTAGATAGTTGGTTGCATCTGGTGGGGTTGAGTGGTCCCTATCATTGTAGCGGCCTGTATGTTGCCGCTGGGTTGGTTTCTCCAGGCCCATCTTTCCTGAGGTTGGGGGAGGTATTTCCGGGTCTTTATTTTGTAGCCATCCAGTGTATCTTGTGGTACCAGATCTTCTGGTAGGTTTGGCTCCGGCCCCTTGCTGCCAGGATAGTTTCTTCTATGTTCTGTATGTCTTCCACTCTGGTGATCCAGTCGGTAGTAGCGGGGGCTGAGGTCTGTCTCCAGAAGGTCAGGATGAGGCTACGTGCTGCGTTGATCAGGTAGGGGATGATGGTTTTCTTGTAGGTCGTCAACGGCATGGGAGTCAAATGGAGTAGGTAGTTCTCTGGAGTGTATTCCACAAAGTCGTCCGTGATTACATAGATGATCCGGTGTATTTCTTGCCAATAGGGTTGGATCAGGGTGCATGTCCACCATATGTGGAACAGCATGCCGAGTTCTCTGCCACATCTCCAGCACTCCGGCGCACAGGTGTTGTTGATGGAGGCGAGTTTCTCTGGGGTCTTTTACCAGTGGGATATGAGTTTGTATCCAGATTCCTGGTATTTCATGCTGATTGACGATTTGTGTGTCAGCGTGAAGGCGTTGGTCCACTGTTCTGGGGTCAGGAGGTGGCCAAGGTCTCGCTCCCAGTGTTTAGTGAAATATGGGAGGGGCTGGTTGGTTGGCAGAGTCTGTAGTAGCCGGCAGAGCAGTGAGATTGCGTGTGGAGGGGGTAGGGGTTGGGTGCAAAGTGTTTCAAACGTGGTGAGCTGCCTGTCAGCCGAGGTTATGTTGGGTATTTGCTTGAGTCTGAGGGTTATTTGGTGGTGTCTGAATCTCGTCATTAAGTCCGGGGATCCGGTGTGGGTAGGTCAGGGAGCGGTGTGATGGTTCCATTTGTAAGCAGGTGTTGTAGCTTACATTGCGATGGTAGTCCCAGGCTGGCCATGATCCGAGCGGTGTCTAGGCCGCGAACGCCGGGTTACCCGTGATGGGGTAGAGGGGGGAGGTAGGCGGGGAGATTTCCGCCCCTGTCGATATTTTCTTCCAGACTTGGAGGGTGGTGGCTATTGTGGGGTGGCTTCGTTCTCCCCTGTTCACTGGAGTTGTGGGCTGCAATGGAAGTGTCTGTTGGGGGAGCGTCGTGAAGCTGGCCTCTATGTCTATCCAGAGTTTGTCCGGGGGGTATGTTTTCCATTCGATCACCCGTTGTAGGTGAATGGCCCGGTAGAATGTGGTAAGGTCAGGGAGTCCGAGGCAGCCCCGAGGCTTGGGTCTGATCAGGATCTTGTATTTAATTCTCGCCGTCCGGTTGTTCCATATGTATGTTGTGAAGGTTCTGCATACCTGGGCGAAGAATGTCTGGGGGATTGGTACTGGCAGTGTCTGTAGGAGATACAGGAATCTTGGGAGTACATTCATTTTGAGGACATTCACCCGCCCTAGCCAGGTGATATGAGGCACCGTCCAGGTTTTGAGGTTTGAGGCTACCGTTTCCAGTAGAGGTGGGAAGTTGAGTCGGAAAAGGTGTGAAATGTCTGAAGTTATCCAGACTCCTAAGTATTTGATTGCTTCTGTGCGCCAGCGGAACGGGAAACGCGTTTTGAGTGACGCTATCAGCGTGCGGTCACATCCAATGTGGAGGATTTCCGATTTCATATAGTTGATTTGGAGGTTTGTTAAGGCATTGTATTGTTCGAATTCCTGCATGGTGGCCGGGAGTAAAGTTAGTGGGTTCTTCACTGTAAATAGCAGGTCGTCTGCATATGCTGATATTTTGCTTTCCCCCCAGCCATGCCTTTAATGTCGGGTCGTTCCCGCACCGCATTGAGGAACAATTCCAAGCTCAGCACAAATAGCAGGGGGGAGAGGGGGCATCCCTGTCGGGTGCCGTTCCTAATCGCGAACGGATCGGATAGTGTGCTATTTGCTGTACAAGGCTCCGATCCATGCCCGCATATTTGGCCCCATTCCCACCAGTTTCAGCATATCAAACAGGAAAGGCCAATCTGCCCTGTCGAATGCCTTCTCCGCGTCTGCGTGGATGTCTCTCGGGGGTGCTGATGGCATTGGCTTGGCGGATTAGAGTGCCTCTTATCGCACACTTGTGTGTTTCCCAGATCGTCTCCGGGTTGGAATCCCTCGGTGTGTTCTCGAGGAAGAAATGTTCTAGTTGGTCTTCTATTTCAGCTTTGAGTAGTGCGTCTTCCAGTAGTGATTTGTTGAGTCTCCAGACCCATTGTTTCCGTGACGTGAGCATGATGATGATCGGGACATGATCCAACCAGATTATTGGTGCAATCGTAGCCGAGTGGAGGTCGTCTAGGTGGCGGTGGGTGATGAAAAAGTAGTCAGTACGAGAGTAGGATTTGTGGGGTGGGGAGTAGTATGAGTAGTCTTTGTCGGCATGGTGTAAGACACTCCAGCAGTCAGATAGCTGAAATTCATGCAGTGTTTCCCTCATGCCTCGAAGAACGTGCCCCGGGAGGGTCGATGTGCCCATGGATGTGTCCATTCGTGGGTCCAGGGAGGCATTAAAGTCTCCCCCAAGCATCAGGGTTCCTTCACTGCAGGGTTCCTAGTGACTGCAGGCCGGTGGGCCTTTTGTGTTAGTGTGGTGCGATTGTACCTTTTCCGCCTGTTCTGAGTGGCGGCACTAAGAAAGGGGTAGTTTGCCTCAGGAGAAGTGTGACTTGGTGTCCGACTCCTGGTGTACGGCAGTAAACCCACGGAAGCGTGGGTAGTGCGCCTCTGACTGGCGAAGTAACCACAGTGGTGGATCTGGGTCAGCACTTCATGGGGTTGTCCGCTCCTTACTGCCTATGAGCAAGTGTGTAAACCATTAGAGTGGGTAAAAGATCAAAGTATAACAAGTATAACATGTAAACATTAGATAACGTTCCAGTATGACCATTAGAGAAACCTTACAATACATTCCTTACTATCGGAAACAATTACAGCCTCTTTGAGCTCCTTCGGCAGGAGATCCTCCCTCCTCCACTCCCAGTCCCCCCATCCCACAGATGCCAGTATTGCTGTCCGTCAGGTCCGGTATTGGTTTTGCTCAGGGGTTTTGGCCGAGGGGAGGCAGTCGGGGGGTAGGTTTCGTCAAGTGCATGGGTCCGGTCTCTCCCCACGCTCCGTATGGGTCCTAGGTAGTGCATGTCCTATGCGGTCCTAGGTAGTGCATGTCTAGGCTGGGTGATTTCAGGTGGGGGGGTGTCTGTCAGTCGCGGGGGCGACCCCATCCAGTGGTTGGAGGGTGGTCGGTCGGGTGAAAGCAAGGTAGGCGAGGGGGCCATACAGTGCATGCAGCAGGACTCGGTGTCTCCCTGCCCCCTTCCCCTCAAACATCCCTGTAGGTTACGTTATGCTTCAGTCCTCCCTCTCTCCCCCCCCACATATAGCGCGGCCCCACGCCCTGGAAATGTGTAGTTGCAGACCCGTTCTCCAGGTCACCCCCCCACCCCCTCATGCGTACACTACATGAATTTAAGGCGTTGTGATACATGCTTACAGATGTCGCCGCAGGTGTCCATGGGTGGCAAGCCTCCTCTGCCTGCAGTAGCCTGCAAAAAAAAAAAAAAGGGGGTCTCTGTCTCTGACATTTTACTGTTAGTGTCTGTCACTGAGTCCCAAGGGTGGATGTTGTTCTAGTCTATTCTTCCTTGCTTGCTGTGGTAACATCAGTGGGGTGTAAGGCCAGTAGTTCCAGGCGGGAATGAGCAGAGTGATTCATGTCAATTCTAGAAGTCCGTACGTCGTGGCCCTGTGTCTCCGGGCATGGGGGAGATTTGGGGGCATCTCCTGCTTCTGGCTTCCTTTACTCCTTGGGTGCAGCTTGATGTGGCGGGGCCGTACCTCCGTTCTGGTCGGCGGTTGCGAAAGTGTGGGTTACAGGCCTGCCCAGGGATCTGTCATTGAGGGGGCAATCCGACCAGTCCCGTATTTGAATGGGCGGTAGCCCCAATGCGTCCAGAAAGATTGGCACAGTTGGTGTTCTGATGGTAGCTTCCATGTTGCCTTTGCGTGCTACTAGTGCGAAGGGGAACTGCCAGCAATATCGTATTTGTTGGTCCTGTAGTGCAGTGGTGATTGGCCGGAGAGCCCGCCTTGTTTGTAGGGTGATGTGGGAGAGATCGTTGTAGAGCTCCACGCGGTGCCCCCCCCAATCCTCCAGGTCCTCTCTGACCTCGCCCCTCTCATTATGGGTTCCTTCAGCTGGAAGTCTGGGATGTGGCATATGATGTCTCTCGGGGGTGCTGATGGCATTGGTTTGGGGCGGAGGGCACGGTGTGCTCTGTCTATACATAGCCATGCGTCTTGGGGCCTGTTCAGGATGTGGTTAGAGATGGGGATTCGTTTTTCTCTTAGATCCTCAGGGCCTTGTGATTCTTGCAGTCGTCTCACCCTGATGTTATGCCTCCGGCTCCTGTTATCCAGATCTTCAACGTGGAGCCGCAGGTCTGTGATTTGCCTCAGCTGTGTGTCACGTGTGTGCTGTGCAGTGTTTGGGGCTGGCGGGCCTGCTGTTTCCAGGGCCCTGACTCTCCCCTCCAAATCTGACAGGAAGGTGCGGAGTGTAGTTATCTCCGAGCGGAGTGTGGTCCTTACCTCCGCCAGAAACGTCTGGAGGTCCTCCTTTTTCGGCAGGGAGGCAAACAGGGAGTACCAGTCTGGAGGGCTGCAGGCACGGGAGTCCGTCGGCTGCTGGCTGTCTTCCGACATTGTGGAGCCCGGGGAGGATGGCGCCATATTGGAAGGCCAGGATTCCAGGCGTGCAGAGGTATGATCGAATGGAAGCGGAGGGGACCTCACCCTGCATCCGTGGTGTTGAGGGGGTCATCTGGATGCATTTAGTGCGACCCATGTGTCTCTGGTTTGGGTGGATGGTAGCGGATTAGTGCAGCAGGGCACAGAGCACCAGAATTAGGCAGCCATTCTCGATCGGCGCCAAGCAACCCCCCCCCCCTTATTTTCATTTTCATCTTTATATTTATTTTCATCTTAATTCATTTTTATTTATCTTTATTTTTATTTTTTTCAATGGAACGCAAGCGTCATCATTAAGTATCCATACAAGCCACCGCACTGGAAGTGACGTTTCGTTATTGCCAAAAACCGGAAGTGGTGTCACAAAATCATCAAAACCCGGGAAATTTGATTTTCTACAGCTGGAACAAGCCAACAACACCCAAGGTAACACCAATGAGGAGACCAGCCACCCATACAAAAGGAGGTGCTCGGGGGGAGGGATTATACTGCTTTCTTCTGTTATTATTACTGCTGTTGCTATTTGTAATTTTTAATACTAGGAGGTCCCTGAGGAAGTCCTTTGAGGACAAAATGCGTAGGACCTGTTACTATTGGAGCTTAGGCTTTTATTTTTTAGACTTATTTTAAAATAAAGCTGAATTTTGTATTCTACTAGCCTGAGTCTGACCCCATCACCTTCAGAAATAGGAGAAGTGGTTTTTACCCCCTATCTACATCAGGGAAGGCACCCTTGGGCGATATTCATAAATAGGAGAAGTGGTTTTTACCCCCTATCTACATCAGGGAAGGCACCCTTGGGCGATATTCAGAAATAGGAGAAGTGGTTTTTACCCCCTATCTACATCAGGGGAGGCACCCTTGAGTGATATTCTACACAGCGCATTTACACTTATTTAACAGTGTTACACTATTATTTGTTTTTTATTCATGTTGCAGATCTGCAGCTGTGTCCTCCTTTGTTTGTATACATATGTTATTTAAAGAGATTATCCCTGGAGGAAGATGTCATCACTATCCATTGAGATAAGTGCTGTTTTTCACTTTCCTATTACATTTAGGTGTTAAGTGATCGTTTTTGCTCATATATATATATATATTTGTGTACGGGGTAATTCGAGGACGTACAACTAAAAGTATGTAGTTCGATAAGGACCAAAGTCGGTTGAGGTGTGCCGAAACCGACGAGAGGTCAGGCCTGCAAAAGAGGGCCCACCTGGTATATAATTGAAAATAACAAAGGGTGAGGTGGGAGGGGAACTTCCAGACGGCGACGATAGGTAAGCTGGGGTTACTGGGGATTTAAATAGGAAAATAACCCCTCCCACAAATTCAGGCATACGCCTTCCACTTGTGTACGGGGTAATTCGAGGACGTACAACTAAAAGTATGTAGTTCGATAAGGACCAAAGTCGGTTGAGGTGTGCCGAAACCGACGAGAGGTCAGGCCTGCAAAAGAGGGCAAAAATAGAAGACAAGATTAATTCACAGATTAGCAATCATTTAGTCACATTATCAAAAAATAGAGTCTGATTTCTATCCTTGGTTAGGAATGTTTCCCATTGTAAACCAACTTACCATATTTCTACTTATGTGTGTCGTAACACGCCCATTAGAGGCTGCTGTTGTATTGACATGGAATGCGATGCCCGAGTAGGAAGAAGGATTAAGGCCTGGGCGGAATAATTAAAGTAACAAATATCACAGTTATTAAAGATGGTTAGGTTTAGTTAGGGACCTGGCTAACCTGGTCTTTGATTACGAGTATAAATTTTGAACCGGGCACAATTTAAAACGCCTAACTGATATGTTTTCGTATGTGGAGTAGATAGATAATGTAACGATTGTTGATTCCTGAATTCTTTACGCATAGGTGAAGCCTCAATAAATCGTAGAACGCCAAGTGAGCTGCTGACTTAAATTAATAGGGTTATTACAGGGAGGCTTAATGGTTAATTCGAAAACTCCCCCTAAGATTTACTGTTGATAGGGAGTGAATTGAATGATTTGTGGAGTTTTGAACTCGGGCACTAGTCGGCACCTTACTGAATAATAAAAAAAATGGGAGTTGTTGGGTATATGGTCTACACGTAATGTTAAATTCCTGTAGGTATAGTTTTAATTGTATTGTAGGCTAGTTTCAAAGAGATGTGGCAAAAATTGTGCAAGCAGCCATTTATAATTGGAACGCATTTATTATCTTGAATCATACACGATACTTACCCACATCGTAAGCTTTAGAGTAAGGTTTGCTTAGTGTTAGTAGACAAATCTACCTGCTTAAAACTCTAACTTAAAGCATGATTAGACCTTAATGAACTGCAGAGGATCTCTGGACTGAATGTTCTTAAGCTCAACAGTTACGTTTAGGCAAGGCCTGACCTCAGGACTTTAGGAGTGGACAGGGCGGGGGATACTGCGGGGGACCCTTGGCAGGCTTGTTTCTGCTGGATGAGCGTTAATGCAACCTTACATGTGTGAATAACTGGTAGAACCATGGAGAAAAAGAGACTGAAAAAGGTATCTGACAGACTATCTGAACTGACGCGAACCGATGAGCAAACGAAATACCGTGACTAACAGTAGGGAAAATGTGCTCTTAAGAGAGGAACCTGAAAAGGAGCTTTGATTGTGGTTTAAGCTTAAAGATAATATGTTGTATAACAACTACCCTATAATCGTTTACTTGATAGGCTTGAGATCGTAATCATCTGTATTATAAGAGGCCTATGGTGTAATTTCTTAGACAGAAACAGATAGCATGACCGCAAGTTAGTCCTGATGGACTTCTTGAACATAAATAACATAGTAAGATGTATATAATATTAAATAGCGTAACAAATGATTGAATGCGCATGGAGAACCATGTGAATGTCAAGCGTGCAGAGACAAGTCCCCATTAGCTGTTAAGGATTTGAATTGTATTCGTTTGTTCGTAATGAAAGCCGAGTGATGCCTCGATGTATGATATGAAACAAGTGGGAATTCTGATTTACCCTGTCTTTATTAGATTGCTAATGCTTTAACCTGCATTGCTTTGTATAGTTGACGTAGACAAGATAATTAGGCGACAGTATGCGTCAAATGGTAATTTAGAACTCAATGTACTGAAATGCCCCTAATGGGCTGCCAAGTAATAAACAGTATATCTGTAATGAAAAAATCTGGAAGCAGTCATTATATGTACATAAGCGTATTGAAGACCTGACGATGGTCCGATACAAGGCCTAAATATGTACAACGTGTAAACGTAAAACACAGCGTGTGGCCAATATACCTATTTAATGGAAAATATATGTAAGAAACAATATGCCTGAAACAATTGTAGGAGGAAACCGCTGATCTTGGTTTCTACTACATTGATATGGGCACCTAGTGTATGTGGTATAAAAGGATCACAAGTGAGTGCAACATCCTTGTACTGCTATCTAATTCTGTAGTAGACCCTTAGTCCGTAAGTGATTGACGTATTAAAAGCATGGATTAGCCTTGTATGATAGTTCTGACATACTGTTTGTATTACTGTAAGGATGTATAAAAACTCACCATGGAAACTAAAGTTATAACGAGGCGGGAAATAATCCACTAGGATACATGATATGATTGTCAGATATGAAATATAGTGGGTATGCATGATGGGGTCTGCAGGTGCGGCCCCCCAAGAACTACGTGTGTGTGTGCTGGCTGACTAGCTAGTGCCGCAATGCAGCGAAACGATTACTCTAGGTTGGTGACAGGTGAGGCCCTGCTAATTGCCAAGTGGCTTGAGAGGCTCTATCTATGCGTTGGCGCGAGGGGATAGCGTGGCCACTGAACGTTGTGGCGGGGTGTCGGCCTCTCGGTGACAGTCAAACATAAGACAGAATGGGAGTGACAGGTGAGGCCCTCTCTATGCCACAATGCGAGGCGACTAACTATGATTTGGCCCGAGGGGCGTAGTACCTCCGAGTATGAGGATGGGTGTTGGCCTCGCCGGACCACTTAACCTAAGGCGAAGAAGCCTAACTAGTGGACACCTAGGAACCTGACAGCCAGCCATTGCTACTTAAGAGGGAAGGTTAGTTCGTGAGAGAGAGGATGGGATGAAACATGAGTGATAATGAAGTAGAATTGTAAGGCTGACCGTAACTGGAGTGCCCTGTGAGCGTGTCGGGTCCAGATGGTCAGTACGTATGAACTCCAATGCGTAAAGGTATGTATGGCCCTCGGGGCTCGTAAGTTTATTTTTTTTTTTTTTCTCTTCTCACCTCTACCACACTACTTTAGTCATGAATAGTATCCAATTAGCGGAATTTGGAAGCAGTGCAACGATTACAACCGTAATTTAAATGGTACTGATTGGAGATAATGTGTGGGTAATTGATTTGTATCCTTACTTAACCTTTTCAACACACTTGTGAGATTTTTCAGATCAGGAATAGTTGAACTATCTAGATGGACATGTGTTTCTTTGTACTTGGTTTCAACAATGTATTAGCCTTTAAGCCAAACAGGGCACCCTCTGCTATTTCCAAACCTGCCCTCTTTAATCCAAAACACAGTTCCTGAAATTTTTTTTTTTTTTTTTTTTAATAAGATACATTTTTAACCGGAGTATCAGGCAATACAGGTCTGAGATAGGTAAGTTAGTCATGTTGATGCTTGGTTATGCAAGTGCGAGAAAGGTAAAGTGTGGAGCAAACTGTGGGGATAACACAGATTAGTTCAGGTTGGGTACAGAGTAATAGATACTGACTTGCTTGGCCATCCTTCAGTGTAGACTAAAGTTAAATATGGTAACTAGCATGTTGTTAGAGTATTTTGAACGTAGTGCATGTACATAGAATGTGTGTTGAGAAGAAAGCCGCTTAGGTGATCTTATGCAATGTTGGTAATGGTGGGAACCCCGGGGTTGCCTCGACATTGTGTGGGGCGTACTCGGTAGAGGCTCACTGCCAGAAAATTAACCATAATGA